ACAGTTGTGAACAGTGTTGATCCAAACCCTCAGGTGGCCAACAAGGTCACCCTGCTCACAGGGAAAAGGTTACTTGTGCTGTGAGAGGAGGGCAGAAAAGGTGACCTTCGTTATCCTTAATTCTTTGCAGAACGACCTTATTGCTCTCTGTTGCCAGTGGCCTTTGTGGCACTGGTTGTGATTTATTGTTTTGCACAATAATAAAGAGGAATCCTGAGTGGCTCTCCTGCCATCCCCAGGAAGATAAATTCTCTGTGCATGTAAACCCCACTGTCACACGTGAGTAGTAGAAGGGTGACTATGTGGCATTCTCCTCCATCCTCAGGCATGGAGAAAATGATGATCTAATGCTGAAGAAAATTGCAGCCTTTAGGATAGACAGTCCAGGCTTGGGGTGTAAAAAGACTTGTAGTTTTCACAGCCTGCTTAGTTCAGGTAAGTTTTAACATACAAAGTTATTTAAACTATTCTTTAATCATGTGCACCCTATCATTCCCTGAGCACTTGCTTTGTAAATTCACTTGGCACTACGGTATCCCACGTGCTTTACAAATTTTCTCATTTCATTCTAAAATAGCCCTATCATTTTCATTTCACGGTTGATGAAATGAAGGCCCAGAGAGGTTAAGTAACTTGACCAAGGGTTCATTCATCAGTGATGTAATTAGGATTTGAACTTCTGTCAACCTGGCTGGAGGTGAGCACTCTGAATATCTCAACCGGGGTGCATGTTACACATCACCTCCCTCCGCCAAAGGACAACACCACAGTGTCATCAACGACAGCCCAGTCCCAATAGCAGTGAGACAGCAGCCAAAAGCACTTCTGAAGACAGACACTGCTGCCTGCAAATCTGCCCCAATGACACCTTCCTACCTTGCACTTCGGGATTCTCTCATTGGCCTAAAACCAGGAACACTTGAGGAACAAATCCTGCACAGTGGCAGCTGAAACGCCACTGGAGCTCTGCTCAGGACACTCCCTGTAAGCACCCACTTGAGTGTTCTCAGCAGAAACCTCTCTGCAGGGAATACTGCCTGCCCTCTGGGAAATGAGCCGGATTGTACAGCAGGCCTGTTGTGTCTTCAGCTTCTGTACCCCTGAGTTCTACCTTTCCAATTTCCATTTCTTTCCTCTGCCCTGATTGTCTCACAAACTTATTTTTCATTTTATATCCTTTTAAAATAGAAAATATCATTAGCAATCTTAAATGATGGTCACTGTTCATTTCCGCTTTATAAACGTGTAAAAACAGAACTTTTTCAAGAAAGAGGGACGGCATCGTAGAACACCGAACGAGTATAAATCTGATTCGGGGAAAGGTAATTGCACTTATTTAACCTTGGCATCGTGGTGATCTGCACCTGTGATGAATGTGAACATTAACTGCAGTTTCTGTGATGGCTGTCTGTCAAGTAATACCAGGCAGAGCCTGTAGCTTATCTGATGTAGGGAAGACTGAGAATTCCACGGGCTTTCTGTAGCACTAGCGAGACAGAACTGAAATTTAACCTTTTTTCCTTGTCACCATGATATATATCAAGTGAGTACATCTTACATAGGTGGTGTTGCATGACCACATGAGTTCCGTTAATTTTGGAGTTGTAGTAAAGCCACTCGTGAGTATCACGGGAGGGAAAGGTGACAGGGATCAATTCATCTCTCCCTAGGGAAGAGTTTCTTTTTCTTATTATTTGAAAATGTCAAACTATGTTTAAAAGTCACAAATTCAATAGCAAACAGAAAACATTACAAAGAAAGAAGGGAGTTTATGTATCTATCTATCTATATTTTGTCCATGTAAAATTTAGATACAAGAATTAAAATTTTTAAAAAGTTTTTGTTAGCGCCTATTAATTTTAGAAAATATTGGCTTTCACTGAATAATTTTAACTTTTCTTCGCCCCCTTCAAATTCCAGACTTCCCAGGCTGGTCCTTTATTATATTTGTATGAAGCTCAGTCTCTCCTTCTCCCCATCCTACTGCCTTCATCCCTCTTCACAATACCTCTTCACAATACTGTTTCTAAGAGCATTTCCTGCATGCAGGTCTCACAGGATCCACCTCCTGATCTATTTCCTGTAGACTTCCTTCTAACTCTTTCACTCAAAATAAAGAGTGAATCTCGTTAGACAGACCCAAAGAGGAAAGGTTAATATAAAGCATTTTACTAATCATAACAACGAATTCTTTATACTGGTTCTAATTCAAAACTATTCTTCAATCATTTGGGAATCTGCTAGCATTGTTTTAAGCCCTGAAAATACAAGGTTAAGTAAAACAAGCAGAATTCTTCATCAGGAGGAACTCGCTGACATCCAACGCAATCATCACAACAAATGAATTCACACGAGTCAAGCTTGCCAGTGAAAGTGTGGACAAACTGTTCTGAAAATAGAGAGGAACACCCAGCCTCCACCCAGAAGGCACGAACGGCTTCACCAGGGACACCTGACCGAAATCTCCAAGAGTCTCAGGCCTTTCGCACCACCTACACCCCACCCTAGCTAGCGCTCAGTGACAGCTCTTACCGCTCCCTTGCAGGTCCTCCAGAAGCTTGGTCTCCTTGCCTGCGGCTTCCATGCTGCAGCACCCTCACGGGCTCAAAACCACGGCCTCCTAGCTGGTTTTCCGGCTGCCACCCTTTCCGCTCTCTCACAGTTGCTTCCCCACAGCAGTTAAGGGATTCTAACGGCAGTCAGGTGCAGTTCTCTGCTGAAAAGATTCCCAAATGTTTCTATCCCATGCTAAATCCAAAGACAGCGCCACAGGTAGAGCCCAGCACCTCCGCTCTGGCCTGGTTCCTGCCTCACCTCTCTCGCCCATTGAAGGCATTTCCTGTCAGTGCTTTTCTGTCCCTCTGGCCTTACTGTGCATCCTGGGAGCTTCGAGCACAAACCTGCCTCAGGTGATTCTACCTACATTCACTGCTGTTCACCTGACTTGATCCTTCCCTCTTTGCCTTCAGCTGTCAGCTTCTTCAGGAAAGTTCCAGACCACTTCCTCTCAGCACCATACATTACCCTTCCTTGAATTTTTAAAAGCACTTGCTATCTGCTCCTTACACGATAATTACTTATTTTATCTATAGTTCATCTCTCTGCAACAGAATATAAACCACAGGAAGACAAAAAAATGGGTCTATGTTTTGTTTCCAGTACATTCCCAATACCCACCACTGTCCAAGAACAGAGGAAATCCTCATAAAACATTTGTTGGATAAACTAATTTTTAAAAATTATGAAAGGGAGACATGGGTGAAGCCATTAGGCTTGAACAACTGTTGAAAGGCATGGAAATCAAAGTATTTCCAATCTAACATGACTAAAATGGAGAAAGCCTCAGTGAGCGGAGCTAGTAGCACACAGGTGGAAATCATGATACCTGCTGGTTAAGGGCTGACCTCCCTCCCCCAATTCTTATGCTGAATCCTCAAACCTCAAGCTCAGAATGTGACTATTTTTGGAAACAAGTCCTCTGAAGATATCACTGATTCCAAATGAGGCTGTTAGGATGGGCCCTAATCCAGTCTGGTGGGTGTCCTTCTAAGAACAGGAAATTTATGCACACAGAGACACACAAGTTGTGGGCCAGGGATTTAGCTCAATGGTTCCACTGCCTGCCTTGAAAATGCAAGGACCTGAGTTCAATCCCTGGTGACACACACACACACACACACAAAAGTGTTGAGACACAGATGTGGGCCAGGGATTTAGCTCAATGGTTCCACTGCCTGCCTTGAAAATGCAAGGACCTGAGTTCAATCCCTGGTGACACACACACACACACACACACACAAAAGTGTTAAGAGACACAGAAGATGTGCACACAGAGGGAAAGACTCAGAGAGTGTGGGCATCTGCAAGTCTTGTAGTGGCCTCAGAAAAAGCTGAACCTGCTGAGGCCTTGATGTTGGACCTCTAGCCTTCAAAACTGGAAGAAAAAAAATTCTGTTCTTTAAGCCATCTGGTTGCTGATATTTTGATGAGGCATTTTGGTTTTTCTCGTGTGAGTCCCTGTACCATTTGAAGCAGAGCTGAAAGTATGACTAGAGAAGACTGGAGCTGTAGGAAGCCTGCACATGTGGTGATGTGGAAGAAGGAAGGACTTGAACCGTAGAGACTACATGGGGAGTGTTTTCAAGAGTTCAGATCTACTTCAAGGAGACACAAGAACTGAGCATACAACTGGGAGCAGAAACAGTACCTAGAGTCAGTGACACATCAGATATGTGACAGTGGCACCTGCCACACAATAGAATTAGATGCAAAACGATCAGAAAATAAAACATGAATTTCAGTGGTATCTCCCATAGGTGAAAAAAGCTTCTCAAGGAGGACCCTCAGACAGGCTCTATCTGCTCTCCTGCTCCCAGGGTCACTGATACTGCTGGGAAAGTGCTAGGCCAGAGCAGCAGGCTCATTGGTCTTGGGGGCAGAGTGCACTTGCACATATTAGAGCCTGGGAGGTCTTCAATGGGGAACCCTGGCAACTCTGCCCACAAAAAGCATTCTCCTGTCTGTGTGATGGAACAATTATTTCTGTACAAGTGGAGGCACTTTTAACCTCTTGTGAACCTGAATACTCTAGAAATTAACACAAACGCTGTGTTCCAATGCACCAGAACAGCTCCAAAACAAGTGTGAACTGGGTGATAATCTCCTTTTCTAACAAGAACACTATTTAACACTGTTCTAACAAGTTGGCAGAATGAATTAAAAAAAAGAATCTGTTTGGTTTTCTCATAGTCTAATTACTAGAAGTAATTCTGCAAAATCAGTCTTCTGAAGGTAGAATAAATTCGTTCATGTCCCTAAAAGAAAACTACTCAGTGCCTTAAGAGAAAGAATAAAGTGTCCTAGTAATTTAGTAGGCATGTGTGGCTCAATGCAGAAATCTGGGAGCAGGCTTTGACCAGGAGTTTTGACAAGGCCTCTCTGACCCTCGATCAGCTGTGGCCTCACTCCTTGCTGCCAGGTGTCTGTGTGTGCGGACTCACATGCAATGCGTACGTGGGCCTTGCGGCTCTTCGTGGTGCCAGCTGAGCTCCAGGCCACGCACTGGCACCAGTAGTCCTCAGGCCCGAAGAGCTCTTCGACTTGCTGGCGAGAAATCTCAATGCTCACTTCCCGAACAATGAGACCTGAGGAGAGAAAGGAAGGCTCGAGTCAAGAGAAGCCCGTACGAGCTAACTAGAAGACGCTCTTTCTTCCTCAGTGGGCTCGCGGAGCCTTTTCATTTGCTTATTTGCAATTTTGAACCACCCAAGCTCATCTGAAGATCAAAGTGGAGTATCATACCACAAAATAACATCTTTCCCCAAATAGCGCGCTGATATTTACCTCCAGTTCACTTCTGTCCTTCTGCATATTCAAAAGGGATCTTGGATTTCATATCTTCTAATGGTTCTACTTCTGTTACCTAGGTTGAAGCTAAGATCCGCCCCTCCTACACAGTGTTATGTTACCATAGCTAAATCTTCCTAACTCGTCACAGGCAATGAGAGAACAATCTAAATCTGTAATCTAAACCTGATACTTTAACAATTAAAATTACTTTAAGCGTGTGTTTTAATTATAATAACATTATTTTTCTTGAAAGAAAAATGAGTCTCAATGAACAAAACTATGATATCCTATTTAAAGAATATAAGGCTTTAAAGCTTTAATGTAAAATGTTCAGAGAGTCCAAATGGTTCTCTGTAATTGCAGTGTGACTAAAATCCTGTTACATTGCTTCAAGCTAAAGAGCTGAAATAATGAGAATTTGTTTCATAGCATTATATTATATAATCCTGAATAACCAAAACTGAATTAAAACCTGGGTTTATCATTTCAGGGAAATTTATCTTGTGGTATCAAGGCTGTTTCAGAGATTCATTCTTCAGCATACCTCTTTGGACTGAGAAAGAGGGATCATTTGAAAAATACATTGAGAAATGCAACTACCAGTTCTCCTGGAGACTATTTAGTCTCATGTGTTTGGAATGCAGCATTCACTGAGAGAACCAGCAGAGCCCTGACAGAGTAGAATTTACTTTGGGACAAAGGTGGGAACAGTAAAAATGATTAAATGAATTTCTGTGTACTTGTCCATATTCATTCATTCAATAAATATCTAACTATTAATTATATAAAAGATACTGTGCCAGGCACTTGTGAAATTCTAATGAGTTAGATATTCATCATCTTCAATAAATTTATATTACTGTGAAGAGTGTTCATGTTAATAATTATATCATTTATCACTTAACTGTTTCTGGGCTAGGCTTGCTGAGGGTCTAGCTTGGTAATGAAATGCTTTTGTCTACCATCTACAAAGCCCTGGGATCAATCCCCAGCACAGGAAAAAAAAATGTATTCAGTGTGTAGGGATGAAAAGAAGTTACAAGAAGGGCCGGGGATTTAGCTCAGTGGTGCCACCACCTGCCTCACAAGTGCAAGGACCTGAGTTCGATCGCCGGTACCAAATAAATAAATAAAATCTAGTCACGATTAAAAAGAAAGAAAGAAAAAATTAACATATAAATAAAACCTAGACACGATTAAAAAGAAAGAAAGAAAAAATTAACAAGAGGAAGCAATCTAGCATGAAAGATTCAGTACGAGCCAGTTTGGAAGACAGAGAATTTGGAGGTTGAGGATCCTGTGGAAAACTACCACCCATGGACACAGACGCTCCTTCGATGTGATGCAACAAGAGATAAGCAAAGAGCCAATCTGTACAGGTGTGGACTCACATGGTTCTCGGAGGGTGGCTGATTACCTTGGGATCTCTTGGGAATGAAAATCCCCAGGCCTTATTCCAGGCTCATTCATTAGGAAACTTTGGGGTTGGCATCCAGCACACTGTGGCCACCTAGTACTTGTTTGCTAGGTGGGAGAATCTTTTTATACATAGCCTTGAAGGTTTGGGGTTTCTTCCAGAGAGCAATGGCTATCAATGAACCATTAAAGCAAGTAGAGGACATGAAGTAGGTGTTATTCTACAGTGGAAGACACAATATTTTCCATCAGAATTGAGAGGGCTGTTCACCTATTAAAATGAGGGGACTTGTGTCATAGAGACTCCAGAGCCCCCAGGTCGTCTAAAGACTTCATTGGACTGGATTTCTGGAAAGTGAGTTTTGTAAAAGGGACAAGGTCCTACAGGGCCAACTCTATTGTCAAAAGTTTATTAAGTAGATAAGAAAGTATTTAAAATTTTTGAAAATTAGTAATCCATTTGTTTATTTATATAATAACCAGTTTAGAAAGAATTTTCAAGTACACGGCATATTTCAACCTCTTGTTCCTCTATGAAAAGATTAATAAATTATTTTAGCCAACAACCCATTAATACAATAATCTTGGGCCGGGGATTTAGCTCAGCGGTTCGGTGGCCTGCCTTGCAAGCACAAGGACCCGAGTTCAATCCCTAGTACCAAAAAAAAAAAAAATCTTAACAGAAAAATTTCCAAGGTTTTACCAAATATCACTGTTTTTCTTCCTTTCGTTGGTTCCTGCTCAGGTCTCCTGTTTTTATGGTGAGTTTTCTTTGCATTAACCCACTGTCCAAAACATTGTATCTATAGAAAGACAGAGCACAGCCTCCGCTTGCAATCCCTACCTCCTACCTCATCCTTTTCTTTTCATCATTTACCAGTAATTACGGCTCTACCTCTTTTACTTGTTTACACATTCCTTCTTCAGGCAGAAATTCAGTTACTGGAAACAACACTGGTCCTTTCGAGTTGCTGAAGGACATTTACAGTCACCAAAGGGCTGATAAATGTGCAGTGTGCATTTCTTTCAAACTATAATGGCTCTTTCTAAAATGCAGAACAGCAACAAATGGGCTCAGGATATTAAAACCACAAACAAATATTTTGAGCCCCAAGATAATAACCTCAGGTTTCATTCCTCTCTTTTACTTAAAGCAATTACAGGAAACCTAATTAAATGCTAGTGGAACTTTACTAGGTCTGCTGAATCCTGTAGTCCAAAAGACTCGTGGATGTTTCTACCAACCACAAATCCAAAGCCTTTTAAGAAGCCACAGACTCACCCTCCTGTTACCAGAGCTATTCATAGTACGAATGCTCTGAATTGTGTGGCCCAGGCTCCCTGTGGGCCTGGAGTGAAGCACACACCAGTTTTTATCTTCAGCTCCACAGACGACCCATTTAGGAGATGGGTTACTCACAGTTGTGTGCAGTTGTCCTGCCCCACAGCCCTAACTTTATATTCCAATATTTGGTCAACAACACAAGGACAAGAAAGAACCTCAGTATGCAGTTTCTAACCACTTGCAGCTTAGAATTCTCCAGACTCAACGGTGTTACCCAGGTTCTGAGCCCCACGACTGCACACCATCTTTTTATGAACACAGTAAGTTCATTATCTATGACATTTTGCTCATCAAACCAGAGTCTAGTAGTTTGGGTGAAGGTAGGTAATATCTTCTCTCTTTGAAAGAAAAAACTTCAAATCTTCTTAAAGTCTTGAGACAGAAGAAAGAAGCTTCCTTGAAATCTGAAATGTCATCAGCATGGCTTCCAAGGAGGGCTGCTTTGAAGAGCGTTTGGGAACTGGAAATAGGTTTCAGGTTATTTAAGGGTGGGGGAGATGCTTCAGTCTACAGGATTTACGCAAATATAAGTGTGTAGTTTCCATCACATCAGATAACATCAAAGATTTCCCATCACTGTGTTTCCTTTAATAGTGGCATCTCAAAGATGCATGCTGTTTGAAGTTTGCAGTGATTTGCTTTTATAATAGAATTCATTGTGGTTGGGAGCCAGAATGCAGGAAAGTAATTAGCATGTTATACCAAGATGTTTTATAATGAGTATGAACATGTACTTGTTAACAGACAGTCTCAAATGAACACAGAAATCCAGGTGCAAATAAAACCTTCTGGGATCTCTGTGAGGCCATACATAAAGATGGCAATAAAACCTTGGAAATGCTGTTTATTCCTCATCTTCCACATAAGATTTTCCTAATAGTGGTCAGGCACCACAAATAATATTTTTTACCCTAGGATTTTACTGTAAAGTGATTATAAATATACGATGAATCCCACTATATAATTATTTAACCTAATAGGTGTATTTCCACAGAAGTCATATCTGTAGTGCTAGCCTCAAACAAATACATACTAAAAGTCCACTGATGTCAGAAATTATGCCAAGTTGCAGAAATGTAAATACGGATCAAATATTACCCAGATTTAAGCAGTTTATTTAAGCAATTTATTTATTACATAAAGGGATCTTGTTTATTAAGTGAAATGTAAGAATTACATACCATCTTAAAATAATTTTAAATGTGATCATCAGTCTGCACTTTCGATGTTCCATGAATATTTCACTAAAATCCAGCCCACATCAACATTAGACTTCGGTGTTCAGTGTTCCTGGGCTATCTTCCCCCTGCTTCCTAGTGACGGTGCCTTTCCTCTGGCAGAGGAAGTTCTGAGACATCACAGTGTGCAGGGCTGGCCATGTGGCTTCTCCCAGCAATCTCTCTGCTGGGAGAGGAACCACAGATCTCTGCCCAATCTCATTATAGGACACTGACCGTTAGGTTGCTAGCTGGTGGGAGATACACAAAGCTGCAGGTAAAGATGTTCTGGAATATATTACAATGTTTTATTAAATTACTATGGTTTCTTCCTTATGCTTTTATTCAGAGCCTAATTCTATTAGTCCTCAGTAATGTGATCTAAAATATGAAACATATCAGTTCTAGATGGCTTAATGAAAATTAAATCATAAAATACCTTGTCATTATTTAAAAGGATTTCATACCATAAAAAGCTGATAATTATTTTAGCAACCTATAACTTTCACTATGATAATCAAAATATGATAACTTGAAAGGTAGGATTTTACAATCAAGTTGACAAATCATGTTATACAAAGTCATTTGTCAACCTTTAACCTACAGTGGGAAAGGAAGACACTTGAACATATTATTTATCAACTGTTCTCTGCAATTTTTTCCTTGAATTTTCAGTGTAATGCTTAATATGTAAAGAGGCTATCTACTTTAATGAAAACTATTTTGTGCAAGTGGGAATTTAAAACTTATTGGCATATTAGCTTTATTACAAGTATACATTTATTAAAGTTATATTTACTATTTTTGTGATCAAGAC